TTGTTTTCTATTTTTTTCCTTCATAAGAAATAGATTTCCGAATTATTCATGCAGGATCCCAGAGGGTTCTTGCGTTTTTTGTCTGCGGACTGTCGAAAGATTGATGCTCGAGTGATTTCGTTATTGTAGAGGCCTCCAGCCGGTGCCGCCGATCCAGGACGATCCCGCTGTCAGAAGGACGCTTCCGCTCCAACGCGGGGTGATATTTTCCCTTCTCCGCGCTGCGCTTCAGCTTTGTAGGCAGTAAAAAATCAGGGTGCAAGTCTTTCCGCATCCTTATGGTTCCCTCCTTTTCCCTCCTCCTTCCCCGTGGCCCTCGTGCATCTTCGAGGCCTCCTGGGGGGGCGTCTTGGAGGTGATTGTTGAGCCTCTTGGGGGCGTTTTGGATTTCTTGGGGGGCATGCAGGAGGCCTCCTGGAGGCCTCCTGGGGGTGTGTAGGAGGTAATTTTTAAGTCTTCGGGGGCGCTTTTGGGCGCCTTGTGGGGGCCTCTTGAGGGCCGCTTGGAGCCTCTCGGGGTTTCTTGGGGACTCCTAGGGCTCCTGGGCGCCTCTTGGGCCGTCTTGGGCCTTTCTGGGGCCGTCATGGAGCCCTCTCAGGCGCTTCTTGGGCCCGTCCTGGGGCCCGCTTGGGCTGTTCTGGTGGCCTCCTGGGCCGTCTTGGGCCCTTCTTGGGCCGACTTGGGGCCCTCTTGAGAGCCTCTGGGCCTGTTTTGGGGGTCTCTTGGGCCGTGTTGGACACTGCGAAGGCCGAAGAAGCGAAAATGCAAAACATGTACGTTTTCTGAAGGGAATGGGAATGATTTTCCGTCTTTGGGCACTCTTAGGAGGTGTCGGGAGGCACGTTGGAGGCTTCTGGAGCAGTCTGAGGAACACATTGGGTGTCTTCGAGCGATATTTCGGCCACTCAGGGCCCTCTTGGGCCGTCTGGGCGGCCGCTGGTTTTTTATGAGCCCGCGTTCGATCTCTCCGGGGCGAGGGGCCGACCCGGAGTGAGCTGGAGCTCCGATTTTGCTACCAAAATTGACTCGACCCCCCCCCCCTACCCCGGCAGAGCCACCCTGGCACCCCCCCCCCCAGCAGAGCTGAAGCTCAAGAACTCAGGCTCAGGCTATATCTGAGGGGCTTTGAAACTGACACGCCGGATCGGCGGACTTAGGGTGATAATGATGGGATTCCTAACTTTTCTCGGTGGATTCCAGAGGATTCTGGCGGATTCCAGCCTGTTGCTAAAGGGCCCCTCAAGATTCCTGAAGGATTCCTGCGGCTTCCTAGGGTTCCTGAGAGATCCCTTGGATTTCCCAGGATTCCAGAGGATGCTTCAAGATTCCTGGAGAGTTGGGTTCCCCAGGGACTCCTGATTGAGGACTCCTGCACACGTGCTGCGGCGCTGAGGCGAGCGCCATACTTTGCACAGGAACCGTCTTCCATCCTTTTAGTTGCTGCAGACTTGCAGGACGAATGTGCGCGGCGTTCAGGCGAGAAAAACGATCTGTCCTCCACCTTGAAGGTTTAGCGCCAGGGCCAGAGCCACATCTTGAAAAGTGCCCGCCTTCCACCCGTGAACTTGTTGCAGTGTAACACAGCTTCTGCGCGGCGCCAAGGCGGGAGCCACATCTTGAAAACGACCCGACCGAAATCTGTGAAGCATTTGAACAATTCCAGCGTTGGGCCATACATGGTGAGGAAGTCGCAGGCGAGACGCCTGGCCCGCCCTACCAACACGCCTGGGGGTGCGACAGGGAAGAGTTACTGATACGAAACGGATGGAGGTGCAGGAGGAACGGGGAACGGGGAACGGGGAACGGGAGAGGCAGGAGGAGAAAAGGAAGCAGGAGGAAGGAGGATGATGCAGGAGGAGGAGGAGGAGAAGGTGGAGGAGGCGGAGGAGGAGGAGGAACAAACAAAGAGGAAAAAGAGGAGGATGATGCCGAGGAGAAGCGTGGAGGAGGAGGAGGAGGAGGAGGACGAGAAGCGCGGAGGAGGGGGAGGAGGAGGAGGAGGAGGAGGACCAAGGAAAATGACGGGAGGGAGGATGAGCGGGGGGGGGGGAGCTTGTCGTCGGGTCGCGTCGGAGTATGCGCCTCGACCCGCCTTTGCCCCGTCGCGCGCGCCTGGCTCGGGCCTCCCCGAGGTCGGCGGCAACATTGGGACGCACACGCAGGCCACCACCTCTTCGAGGAAGAGGGCGACGAGAATGAGAATGAGGATGATGATGATGATGATGATGATGATGATGATGATGATGATGATGATGATGATGATGATGATGATGATGATGATGATGATGATGATGATGATGATGATGATGATGATGATGATGATGATGATGATGATGATGATGATGATGATGATGATAATGATGATGATGATGCTGATGATGATGATGATGATGATTGATGATGATGATGATGATGATGATGATGATGATGATGATGATGATGAGAAGGCGGAGGAGGGGTGGCAGAAGGGGGAGGGAGGAGGGAGGCAGGGTAGGAAGAGGGGGAGGGGGAGGATTCTGCTGGGATTACATGCTGCTTAAGACTCCCCTGCGATGGAAAGAGCACAGGACGCCTGCCCGCTCAGGTGCAATACGTATATCACCTAAGAGCTTCTGTGGCGTGCCGACTCTCCTGACTTTCGCGACAGTGGTGCCATGAACTTCCGAGCAAACCCCTCAAGAGACAGCGACACGGGTTGTCCACAACAGCGGAGCAAAGAAGAGGAAACGCATTGCTTGCGAAATGGGTGTGCTACAGCGTTGTGCAATCCAGGCATACGGTATTGAGGTCCCACCAGCAGCAATTCATGTGATTGCCACGACAGCGATGTATGAAGAAAGCGCATGATGCAATTGGCGGGGGTAGTTACACCAAGCGAGAACGTTAACTGTGAAACAAATATCCATCCACCTGCTAGCACACGAACAAGCAAGAGCACAGGGATCCAAATGCCGCAACACGGACGTATGATCTTTGCGACATCATAGTGGAGCCTGTAGGACAGCTGCCCCACGCCTGCCTTTGGTGTCCTTTGGGCCTTTGGCCAGGCTCAGCCTACAGCTCCAGGTTTTGCGCCCCTTCACGTTGTGCACTTAGCCCGCCAGCGATGAACCACCGCCGCCTGCCCAGCCCGTGCAGCCATACACGTCCGCGACACTTTGCCACCGCACGGAGACGCCGAACCTCATCGAAGCCGGCAGCCAGCCTGTCGCTTCGCCCATCGTGGGCTCGCACGCCGCTCTGGAGACGCCATCTCTCCGCAGCCAGCGCATTGGCCCGCCAGCGGCGCAGATGGAGGACATGCGCCTCCCATGGCCCTCGGCTCCCGCCAGCAGTACCACCTCGGAGCTTGCTGCCCGATGCATCCCGGGGGAGCGGGAGGAGGAGGAGGAGGAGGAGGAGGAGGAGGAGGAGGAGGAGGAGGAGGAGGAGGAGGAGGAGGAGGAGGAGGAGGAGGAGGAGGAGGAGGAGGAGGAGGGAGGGAGGGAGGAGGAGGAGGAGGAGGAGGAGGGAGGAGGAGGAGGAGGAGGGGGAGGAGGAGGAGGAGGAGGAGGAGGAGGAGGAGGAGGAGGAGGAGGAGGAGGAGGAGGGAGGAGGAGGAGGAGGAGGAGGAGGAGGAGGAGGAGGAAGAGCACTGTGGGACCACCGAGCCACGCCAGAGGCAGCGAGGGCGGCAGCCCTGGTGCACCACTCATCCCAGAGTCCATCCCGAGATGATTCATCCGCACATTTTCCCGAGCTCTCGGCGGCTTTCCGGATGGCCGGCGGGTTAGGCCGAAGCCCCACACGGAGTTTTGTTTTGAAAAGAACCAGGGACTTGCGAGACGGTCGGCACGCCGTGTACCCCTTTGGTAAGACCACAGGGGGTGGCGGATGACGGAAACGGCGCGTAGCGTCTCGATCCGTTAGCGGGGAGACAAAACAAGGGGGAGTGTGAGGGGGTTGGCCTCGGCGGCCCCAGATCTAATGGCACAATTCAGGGGTCATGCTCGGCCCAAGTCAGCCCACAGAGCGCCTCAGAGGGCCCCCAGACGGCCAAAGGCAGCCCCAAGAGCGCCCGAGCTACTGCCACGACGGCCTCAGGGAGGCCTAAGAGGGCCCCGAGACGGCCGGAGAGCGCTGAAGGGCCCAGGATGAGCTCAAGATTGCCAAAGAGCCCTTTAAGACGCTCCACGAGGCCTCCAGAAGGACGCTCAAGAGGCACACATCGTCCCATGCCCGAGGCAAAACATACATGTTTAGCATGTCTGCTTCTTTGGTTTTCATGTTTTCACAGCATCCACCACTCAGCGGGCGAAGAAGGGTATAGAGTGAACTTTTCCGTCACCGGGGATGCCTGTCCCAGGGCGGCTGGAAAGTTTATACCTGGACGTGACTCCGTAGGGGTATAAACTTTCCAGCCGCCCTGTGACAGGCGTCCCCGACGGCGAATAAGCTTATTTTGTACGGTTCTTCGCCCGTTAAACTACGAGAGGCCCCCAGGATCGCCCCAAGACGGCACGAAAGGCCCACAAAACGGCCCAAGAAGGCTCCAAGACGGCCCAAGAAGGCTTCAAAACGGTCCAAGAGGACCCCAAGATGGGGCCCACAAGGTTCCCAAGGGAGCCCCAAAAGGCCCCCAAGAAAGCCCAGAGAGACTATATGTTTTGATTTTCGTAAGGTTGGTTGTTAATGTTTTGTATGACGTGCCAAAGTCTCAAAACCAAGAAGGCTCCAAGACACTGAGCATGTGATCTCGCGCCCTCAAAGAGTACGAACGCTGTCCGTCCCCGTGCCAAACAGGTGACAGAAAGAGCGTTCACGCGGTTCCGTTCTAGGTAGGGCGTCAGCCCAAGGGGGGGGTATCCGGGGGCGGGTGGGCGCAAAATTTAACCTCCCGCCGGGGGCCCAAAAAGGCCCGAGTGGCGCCCCACGCGGCCCACGATACGCCGAAGAGGCCCCCAAGAGGGCCCAAGAGGGGTCCAAGACGGCCCAACGCGCCCCAAGGAAGCCTGGGACCGCCTCAGAGCGTTCCAAGATGGCTCCCGATGGTAGGCTTTACGTGGCTCGAGGTTGGCCCCCTGTGCCTCTGCAAATTGCCGCCGAGGCTGCCGCAGCGCCGCTTCCCTCCAGGCCACCACGTGCTCCTGCGATGCCCACTGCCCGGTGGCTGGTGGGCGCAGTGCTCGCCGCCGCATGCCCGCTGGGCGCCTGCGAGGTCCGCCGCTTCTCCTGGTCGGCGCCCGCGGAGCACCCGCACCTGCGCCGCCTGTCCGCCAGCGGGTCGACCCCGGACACGCTGAACGTCACCGTGGACATCGTGAAGCTGGACACCTTCGGCGTGGAGGGGGCGAAGATGGACGTCAGCTTCCTGAGGGAGGACGGCGCTCGCATGCGCCTCTACTTCCCAGGCACTGAGGGGAATCAGGGGCGGAACATGCCGCACTGGCTTCAGACGATCCGCGCGGTCACCCTCGTCGGCCACGCGGAGAGCGATGCGCTGGCCGCGCAGCAGGAGAGGGACGAGCTCGACAACCTCGAGATGTCCGCTGGCCTCACGCCGCTCGGGGCAGACGGGATGGAGGTTTTCGACACCCGGGAGCTCTTCGTGGTAGAGGCCGCCCAGGGCGAGGTGGACTCCGAGGAGTTCGAGGCCGACAATTCGCGCCGCTTGTCCGACGGCCTTGCGCCGACCGTGCTGGACACCGTGGTGGTCCTCATCTCGCCCTGCGGCGAAGAGCTGGTGCACTCCACCCCGCACGGCGTGCAGAGCGCTGTATTCAGCAACGGCGCCGGCTCTGTCAACAGCATCCTCAAAGACTGTGCTTCTGTCAGCAGCACCAAGGACATCTCTGTCATGGGAGACGTCATCGGACCCATCGAGATATGCCCGTCGAGCAGAGACATGTGGACAGTCCACTGGACGTGCAATGAACACCTGAAGAACGACCCGAGGTGGACCGGCAACTACTATAAGGCCATGGTGCTTCCAGACGATTGGCTCGGCGACGCGGCGGGCCTGGGCGAGATCAAGGGAGCCAACACGTGGTACCGCGACAGCGTTACTCAGGGCGCCGCGGTATTCATCCACGAGTACGGGCACAACATCGGGCTCCACCACGCCAACGGTAGGTACATTTGGTCCGAGTATTTGGACTGGAGCTCCGCGATGGGTAATCCCATGAATGGCAGGTGCTTCAACTTCCTGCAGCAGTGGCAGCTCGGCTACTCGGCATTCATGGACCAGGAGTACAGCGTGGAGCAGATACTGGCTGGCAGCGAGGTCACCCTCACCCTGCCCGAGGTGGGAGTGCACTACCAGAGCGGCGTGAGGCTCAACCTGCCGCCCCCAGCGGACGGCACCCTGAGCTTCGGCGACGAGCCCTACCTGGTGCTGTCCTGGCGCAGCCGCGGCGGCTTCGACAAGCACATCAGCAGCAGCAGCAGCGCGAACAGGGTCTACGTGCACCAGTGGTCCGGCGACCGGGCGCGGAGCATGCAGACGCTGGCTCTGCACGCGGCCGAGCGCGGCACCACCACGCTCATCGAGTACACCGAGCCGCAGGAACTGGCAACCTCGCTCCCGACGGGCATCAAGATGACGGTGATGGGAGAAACGTACGTCTGGCAGAACGAGGAGATCCAAATCGTGCTGTGCGCGGCCACCGACACCGATATCGCAGGCAACCTGAACCCCTGCCTCAGCGCCACTACCACGACCACCCCCCCCCCGCCGCCTCCGCCCCCGCCGCCGCCCAGTACGTGGAGCGCGTCTTTCTCGAACGAAGCGACGTCACAGCAGGTCTCGTGCAGTGGCGTTCTTGTAGGCATGGATTGCAGTGGGGAGTATTGTGGTACCCAGAGGTACAAGTGTAGGTCGGACATCACGACCTCAGATGCTGGCGCTAGCACCATCATGGTAGAGACGGACACTGGCAACGCATTCTGCCCTGCTGGCCAGGTTGCGACCCGGGTCACGTGCGTCGGGGACAGCTGCCGTAAGTTCATGCTGCATTGCAACGCCCCGACGAACGCCGAGATCTGGGACTCAGGATGGACAGGTGGTGGTGCGGGTTGGTTCCCGCCCGCGTTGCACGAGCATGGAGAAGGTATTTGCGACGAGGGGCGTGGAGTGATCATCGGCATCTACTGTGGCGCTGCGCAGTGTGGCCGCAAGATGTTCCTCTGCGCCGACTGGAAGCATGAGCCGCCAGCACCGACGACGGAGCCGACTGCGACGCCTGATCCGACTCCGACTGCGACGCCAGCGCCGACGACGGAGCCGACGGCGACGCCTGATCCGACTCCGACTGCGACGCCAGCGCCGACGACAGAGCCGACTGCGACGCCTGATCCGGCTCCGACTGCGACGCCAGCGCCGACGACGGAGCCGACGGCGATGCCTGATCCGACTCCGGCTGCGACGCCAGCGCCGACGACGGAGCCGACTGCGACGCCTGATCCGGCTTCGACTGCGACGCCAGCGCCGACGACGGAGCCGACGGCGACGCCCAATCCGACTCCGACATGCATCCCAGTCTGCTTGTCGCAGGGGCTCGTGTGCGGAGACGACGGCTGCGGTGGCTCGTGCGGCCAGTGCTCGTCGCCAGAGTACTGCGTCAACAGCACTGGTCAGTGCGGCGGGGCGTACCTGCATTCCGCGTGGGGCAGCTCGGAGGCCGCGATCCCAGACGGAAACCTCACCGCCACTGGCCTGTCATGCAAGGGCGACTATTGCACTTCAGTCAAGCTCACCCTCCTTGGCATCGTCACGGACGCGACCACTGTGGAGTACTCGGCGTGGCTGTCGGACAACTTGGGCGCGAAGTACGTGTGGAACGAGGGCGAGGAGGCTGGAGGGCACGTGGCCGATTGCCCCGAGGACAAGGTGGTGTCGAACATCGAGTGCCAGGGCAAGTATTGCGACAACATCCGCATGCACTGTGCGACGCCTCTGCAATACGTTGTTGACGTGGCGGCCGTACCCTGGCACTCCGACTGGTTCAGCGAGGAGGAGGGTCGCATGGACTGCCCGGAGGACCACGCCATCACCGGCATCGAGTGCAGGCAGCACGAGGGCTTCTTCTGCCTGACGAACTGCGGCGACTACTGCGACGACAAGCGCATAAGGTGCAGCGCGATCAAGCCCGCGGCGGTGGGCAGGGCAGCGATCGGCATCCTGCCATACTCTCAGCTGGCCGAGCGCATCCAGGACGGCAGCCTCGAGCAGGGCGAGAAGCTGACCGCGCCCAGCCACGATGCCGTGGTCTCTGCTACACCAGGGCGCGGGCTGGGCGCGGCCATGGTGGCCCTCGTGGCCCTCCTGGCCGCTGGAGCGGGAGCGCTGTGAGATCGAAGAACACAGAAGCTGCACCAGCACGATTTGCGCTCGCGCCGTGTGGCCCGTTGAGAGGGCCACGCCCGCGCCACGAAGCCCTTCCGTGACAGTTTGTTCAGCCCTAGGCCGCAGACGCCGTCGAAGGGCGGCGTCTGCTGTTCCGCTCCCCCTGCAGCGTTCCAGCGGAGGACGGCTCCAGAGCCAATGTCCCAGTTCATACGACCGAGCTTTTCGCGGTGGTTGTTGGCCCTGCCTCTGGTCGCGGTGGCTGTCGAGCAGGGTTTGCCTGGATATGTCGTCTTCGCTCCCGCGGGGGAGGCCTCTTCTTTCCCGCCAGAGAGCGCCGCTTCTTTCCCCGAGCCTTCTAGCTCTCTCGTTCTGCCCTAGAGCACAGACGCCGTCGAAGGTGGCGTGTGTTTTTCCCCCCCTCCGCAGAATTCCAGCGGGAGACGGTTTCAGAGTCATCATCGCAGTCCATGTGGATTTGAACTTTTTCACTACCGACTGTTCCCTTCCGTGCTGCGATCGGCCTTGCCGGGGCCTGCACGGCTGGCGGCCTCTTTTCGTTTGCAGTCGCGCCCTACCTCTGATCGCGGTGGCTGTCGCGCCCTACCTCTGATCGCGGTGGCTGTCGCGGTGGCAGGTGGCCCTGCCTCTGGTCGCGGTGGCAGTTGGCCCTGCCTCTGGTCGCGGTGGTTGTTGAGCAGGGTTTGCCTGAGGCTGTTTGTCTTCGTTCCCGCGGAGGATGCCGGTTTCTGGCCTCCGAGGGCCGTTTGGGCCTAACCGCGCGTTCGCTTTTCAAACAGCGTGTTCCCGATTTCGCCATACGGAGTTACTGCTAGCATCTGTCCACCTGTTACCGGAGATCTTAGCACGCCCTTGGCCCGTTGGGCCGGCGAATTTATCAAGACAGTTTGCCCTGCGTCCTTTGGTATCTTTCGTTTCTTCTGCACGTGCTCCGCCAGCTGGCGTGGCAGTGCGTGCATTTTATTTCAAGGCAGTTTTGTCCCGTCCTCCGTCATTCCTCGCCCCTCCCGTAGGTGCTCGGCCAGACATGCCAAGAAACTGTGATTACATCCGAGAACCAGCGAACAAAAAAGAAGACGGCTCCAGATGGCTCCAAGACGGCCCAGGAGGGCCCCAAGAAGGCTGAAGAGGCTCCAGGACCTGTGGAGGCCAGAACTATTGATGTTCCTGGGGTTTTTGTATGTTTTTTAGATTCTCATTTTTTCGGACCAAGAACGGCCTAGGACCGCCCAAGAGGTCCCAAGGATCGTCCCAAGACGGCCCTAGGGGCCCCAAGAGGGTCCAAAGGCCGCCCAAGAGGGCCCCAAGACGGGCCAAGAGGGCGCCAAAACAGCCCACGAGGGCCCCATGACGGCCCCAAGAGAGCCCCAATTTGGCCCCAAGAGGCTCCCTAAAGGGCACGAAGATACCCCCAAGAGAGCACCAAGACGGCAAAAGGCTTCCAGGACGCCCAAAGACGGCCCAAGAGGGCCCCAAATCGGCCCAAGAGGGCCCCAAGACTGCCCAACAGGGCCCCAAAAGGACACTGAGGAGGCCCGGCCCCAGAGGGCCCCAAGACGGCCCCAGAGGGCCCCAAGGAAAGCTCCAAGACGACCGAAGGCCTCCAAGACATCCCACGACGGCCCAAAAGAGCCCCAGCACGGCCCAAGAGGGCCCAAACGGAGCCCAACAGGGCCCCAACACGACCCTGAGGAGGCAATGAACATTAAGTTTCATCTGGGTTTTGTGAGTTGTTTGGGTTCTTGCCTTTTCGGGCTTCCGACGGCCCAGGACGGCCCAAGAGGCCCCCAAGATCGTCCCAATAATATGGCCCGAGAGGCCCCCAAGAGGGCCCCAGGAGGCCCCTGGGACGGCCCCAGAGGGCCCCAAGACGGTCCAAGAGGGCGCCAAGAGGCTCCCAAGAGAGCCCCAAGTGGGCCCCATGAGGCTCCCAATAGTGCCCCTAGAGGCTCCAAGGAAAGCTCCTAGACGGCCACGGCCCTCCAAGACGCCCCAAGACGGCCCAAAGGGGCCCCAGGACTGCCTAAGAGGGCCCCAAGAGGGCCCAACAGGGCCCCAGCAGGACCCTTAAGCAGGCCCAGAGACGCCAAGCTCGTAGCGCCAGGGCTCCCCAGAGCGAGCGGTGAAGTAACTTTTACCACCAGGGTTCCCCAGAGCGAGCGGTGACGCCAGCTCTGAGCACCAAGGCTCCCAAGAGTCCATAGTGGCGTGACAAGCTCTTCACCCCAAGGCTCCACAGAGCGAACGGTGACGTTACAAGTTCTGAACACCAAGGCTCCCAAGAGCGAGCGATGACGTAAAGAGGTCTGAACACCAAGGCTCCCAAGAGCCCATACTGACGTGAAAAGCTCTTAACACCAAGGCTTCCAAGAGCGAACGGGGATGCTACAAGCTTTGAACACCATGGCCCCCAAGAGCTCACAGTGACGTGACAAGCTCTTAACACCGAGGCTCCCAAGAGCGAGCGGTAACGTGAAAAGCCCTTAACACCAAGGCTGCCAATAACGAGCAGTGATGCAAACAACTCTGAACACCAAGGCTCCAAAGAGCGAACGGTGCCACGAGACATCTCGAGCAAATTTCTGATGCGCTCTTTCCGTGACTGTGCCGGCCCAGGTAACGGAAAGAGCGAGGTATGGGCGATGACGTGTTTGGGCGAAGCCCTAAAGGGAGGGGTTCCAGGGGAGGGGGGTGGGGGGGGATGAGTGTTAATGGCCGCTCGGGGCCTCTTGGAGGCCTCTTGGGCGCTTCTTGGACAGTCAGAGGCGCCCAAAAAGGCCCAATATACCTCCAAGACGGCCCAAGAGCGCTCCAAGAGAGCCCAAGACCGCCCAAGACGGCCCAAGAGGCCTCCAAGACGCCCCAAGAGGCGGCCAAGGGGCGTCCCAACAGGGCCCCAAGAGGGCCCCAAGAGGCCCAAATCATTGATTTTCCTTAGGAAAACGTGCATTTTGAGCATACGCGACTATTCGGCCTCCACGGCGTCGACGACCGCCCAAGAGGCCCCCCAAACCGCCCCAGGACGGCCCAAGAGGCTCCCAAGAGGCTCCCCAAACGGCCCGAGAGTGCCTCAAGACGGCCCAAGAGGCGCCCAAGACGGCCCAAGAGGGCCCCAAGACGGCCCCAAGAGGGGGCCAAGAGGGGGCCAAGAGGCCCCCCAAACGGCCCAAGAGGGCCCCAAGACGGCCCAATAGGCGCCCAAGACAGCCCAAGAGAGCTCCAAGACGGCCCCAAGAGGGGGACCACGAACCGAAAAGTCTAGCCGTTCGCCCCAAGACGCTCCCAGGAGGCCCTGAGAACCCCCCAAGAAGCCCCAAGAGGCCCCCAAGAGGCGTCCCAAGAGGCCACCAGGAGGTCAAATCGTTGATTCCCTTTTAGGGAAACTTGCATTTTTAGAATGCACGGCTTTTCGGCTTTCACGGCGTTGAAGACAGTCCAAGAGGCCCCCAAGACCGCCCCAAGACGGCCCAAGAGGCATCC